AGGGACACATAGTGAACTTTTCAGAGGGGGTATAATACCCTAATTCCAGCCTCTTTCTCATTTGTATTTTCTTTCTCCCCACTGGGAGCCTGCCCCAGGTCCCTGGGGTCAGGGAGGCCCCCTCACCTCCTTGGTTGCCTAGCCTGTTTCCCAGTTACACACCACAGCCTACCCAGACCACACTTGCCCTCCACCCCAAGCCCTCTGCATCAGACCGCTTGGTAAAACAAAGATTTGGGGGCTTCTCTTCAGCGTTGTTGATCAGAGAACTCCTGTGCCTGGTGTTTGGTGGCCTGTGACCCAGACTGTGAGCAGTGCCTGGTCCCCCCCATCCTCAGACCCTGGAGTGTGGACAGAGGGGTTCAGAAAGGACCAGAAGGAGGGGCAGTATTTCTAGGGAGCTGAAAGTGTTCAAGGCTAGCTCTGCTCCAATGACAGGTGGTGAGGGTTCACCCATCCTCCCTTTTCCCCAAGTACACAGTCAGATCACAGGCCTCCACGTGTTGTAGACCAAAGAGACAGACCAGACTCAGACTCCGAACTGGGTTCAAATTAAGAGAGCTTTATTAGCTCGGCGACTGTCCCATCCTACGCAGAGGAGAGAGCAGCCCGGAGCTCAGGGTGGGTTGCTTATGTAGTTGTCTTAGCCCCTGTTAAGAAATTGGGCTGAAGGTTTGCAAGCAAGCAAGCAAGCACATACAGAAGCAGATATCTGCAGTTAGCCATTATGCCTGAGGGAGCAAGCAGTTTCGGGTCTGTACAATGCAATTGTTAACCACACAATATAATGGTTAACTATTAACTCTGGCCGCTAGTTCTTGCTATTCTTAAAGTCCAGGGGGTGAGGTCTGCCTAATGGGAAAAATCTTTCTGTACATTCACATAGCATGTGTTTGTCCTTTACACATGTGCTTCCCACAGCTAATACCGCATTGCTCCGAGTCCCTTCCCACTTGGAATTTCAACCATTCTATGTAGAATGAAATACAGCCACACTGAGTTTTTGGAAAATCAGTTCAGTTGTATTCCTACCATCATTAATAGGGATGTAAATTGTGCCTGAGAGGGACCTGGGGGCTTCTTGGATTTGTAAACCCTAAGTTTTCTCATGTTGTTTCTTTGTTATTAGCCCGAGTAATGAAGGCTATCAAACATCTTTAGTAAGTCCCTGGGTTGCGGATTTCACAGTCCTTGGTGATGAGCACATGTTAATTACCCCTGAGTCCTGGCAATTCATCACTGCCCCGCCTGGCTCACTGGCCTCTTTCCTGCTCTCTGGTGCTGGGGGCCCTTGGAGTCCCCCTCCCTGTCCTGTTTCCAGGGGAACTCCATTTTCTTCTCCAGCAGAGATCCGTCTCTAGGGAATTCCCCTCTATTGAAGCTTCAAGTGGCATTTTAAAAGCAGCGCTGTCATCTTTCCTAATGGGTGTTTTCCCTGCATCTCTGCTGGCGGCGGGAGAGAGGAGTGCACAAGAGCATGCTTGCTCCTTCTGGGCTGGGGTTCGTCCCAGGCCTGCTGAGGGACTCCAGGCTGTTTGAGGGGAGAGGGCGATGCACCAAGGACGAGACAGGGCCGGTCCTGCACAGAGGATTCTCTTGAACCTGGGTGTTTACCTGGAAGATTCTGCCATTAGAAGGTATTTTCCTTTTGTCTGAAGACAGGAATATTAAGAATTAGAAAGACGCCCTGGCCGCTTTGGCTCAGCAGTTAGAGCGTCGTTGGCCCATGGACCACAGTCCCGGGTTTGGTTCCTGCTAAGGGCATGTACCTCGGTTGCAGTTTGTCCCCGCCCCGGTTGGGGCCATGTGGGTGGCAACCAGTCGATGTGTCTCTTTCACGTTGATATTTCTCTCTCTTCCCCCCTCTGTCCCTCCCACTCTATCTGAAGATAAATGCAAAAATGTCCTCAGGTGAGGATAAAAAAAAAAAAGAATTAGAAAGATCAGGAGAGGAAAATGCAAGAACTCATTTGGAACGAGAATTATACATGATAAGATTTTGCTTGAATTTAGGAGTGGGGCCGGAACCCAGTCGTAGTCAACTCCAAGTCTTCCCCACTGCCTTGCACACAGTCTGCAAATACATGTGAAGTAAAACTCATCTTTATTTGATTTTCATAAGACTCCTGCCCGTTAGATAAAATAAAAAAGATGTATAATGGGCTTTGGAGTTAGACATGCCTAGGTTTAGATCCCAGCTCTGCCAAGCTGTATGGCCTTAGGCAAGTTACTTAACATCTCTGATTCTCAGTTTTCTCACTGGTAAAATGGCTAATAACTCACAAGGTCTTTGTGAGAATCCAATAAGATAATGATCTACTTATCTACTGAGCATCAGCAGGAGCTCAGTAAGTGTTCACTTCCTTCCTTCCTCCATCACTGGTTCCCCGCTCCATCTGTACATTAGGGTCACCTAGGAAACTTTGTCAGGCCCCACCCATTGAGATCTGGATTTAATTGTTCTGTGGTGGGGCTTGAGCATGAATGTTTTTTATTTTTTTATCCTCACCCGAGGACATTTTTCGATACTTTGTTCAGATAGAGTGAGAGGGAGGGAGAGAGAGAGAAACATCGACATGAAAGGGACACATCAAGTGGTTGCCACCCACATGACCCAGCCAGGGCCGGAGACAAACTGCAACTGAGGCACATGCCCTTAGCGGGAACTGAACCCAGGTCTCTCTGGACCACAGGCCGACGCTCTAACCACTGAGCCAAACCAGCCAGGGCAAGCATGGATTTTTTTTTTTAAGTTCCTATTAAAGGATACATTTTTTTAAAAAGTAAAATCATGAATTCCATACAAATATAAAATGAACACATGGCAAATATTTATTTAACTCAGTAATTAATGAGGGAACCAGTCAGATACTACAACTGGATCAAATGTAGCAGGTTCTCAAATAAGGTCCTTTGTTCAACGTCATTTTGTTAGATCCATTATATATTAACTCTTGTTGATATCCATTAGCTTATGGAAAATTGTTTTCATTATGTACCATTTCTCTTAAAGTCGCAGAACCTTTCAATGACGTTAAGTGAGGACTTACTGTAATTCAAATAACACACACATATGGACAATCAGGAATGCTGAGATGAATTTATAAATAGATGCAGATCTGCCCTGGCCAGTTTGGCTCGGCGGTTGGAGCGCAGATGGAAGAGTCTCAGGTTCGGTTTCGGTCAAGGGCACATACCTCAGTCGGGGTTTGATCCCTGGCCCTGATTGGGGTTGTGTGGGAGGCAGCCAGTCCCTGTGTTGCTCTCACACCTGTCTCTCTCTCTCTCCCTCCCTCCCACTCTATCTGAAAATCAATGGGAAAATATCCTCCGGTGAGGATTAAAAAAAAAAAAAAAAATGATGCAAAACTGTCAGTAGCCAGAGGGTAATAATCAAATAATCAATTGCATACCAGTTTAGGAAATGTATTTGCATTTCTGCAAACAAGAATCATTAGCATTACTCTGTGCCTTCTACGGTTTACAGAGTCGTAAAGCAAGACAAGGAAAGGTGCAGACCTCTCTGAAGTCAGACATGCGACTAATATGTGAAATGGAGCACCCAGTAATCTGCTTTTTGTACATTTCAATATCTCACTTCCCCAGGGATTCTAATGTGCAGCCGTGTCCTTTTTTTGAAACAAAATCTCACAAACTATGGCCCGTGTATTGATGTAAGAGCTGCTTTGACGAAATCATGCCCACACTGCCCTCCTCTCAGGCATGGAAGACTCCTGGCAACTTGGGACCCGTGTGCCACAGCGCTGCCTAGTGGTTCTCAGAGGGATGTCCCTGCACCAGCAGTGGCAGCATCACCTGCGTTGTTAGAAATGCAGATTCTCAGGCCTCGCCCTCTGGGAGTGAGGCCTGCACCTGTTTTAACAAACCCTCCAAGCGATTCTGATTCCCTAAGTCATTGGGGGGGAGATGTTAATGGGATTCAATTATTGAGTGTGTGATGTGTGAAAAATTCTGGAGTATATGCTCCAGGGGATACCAAGAAAGTTGAGTCTGTGTGTTAGTTATCCACTGCTGAGTAACAAACTGGCCCAGAGCTTAGCCACTGAAACAGTAGGGTCGTGAATCTGGGTGCAGCTTTGTGGGATCCTCTGCCTCACAGGCCGAAGTCAAGGGTGTTGGCCAGAGCCTCAGTCATCAGAGGGTTCGGCTGGGGCAGGGTCCATTGCTGAGTTGTCGGGGATGGTTGGTAGGATTCCGATTCCTAGGGGTGGGTTGGCCACCCCTAGTTCCTCACCACATGGGCCTCTCCATAGGGCCGCTCACAGCACAGCAGCTGCCCTCATCGAGGGGAGCCAGCTAGAGAGCAGGAGAGGGGGTGCCCGAGACGGGAGTCACAGCGCTTTATCACATAGTCTTGGAAGTGACTTGTGCTCTCGTCTGTTCACTAGAAGTGAGTCACTAGATCCAACCCACATTCAAGGGGAGGGATTACACAAGGGTGTGGATGCCCGAAGGCGGGTCTGATCCCACGTCCCTGTCTCTGCCCTCGTATTTACAGTGGAGGCATCCAACACGTCCACACCTACTGGAATCAGTCAGGGAAAGAGGTGGTCATAAGGGCAGACACGAGTTCAGAGAGAAGTGAAACTCTCCGGTTGAGGGAATCAGGAAGGTTTCCTGGAGGAGGCGGCCTCAACCATGAAGGAACGAAGGACAAGCCGCTGGCTGGGAAGGGGGAGCCAGGTGGAAGGCGGCCAGGCAACGGCAGTGAGGTGGGAAAGCGAGGCGCCTGCTCAGGGGTCCATGCATCAGACCAGTTCAACGTGGGCAGAGCCTGGACAGAGGCAGGAGGAGGAAAGCTGGAGCCGCAATGGGGACGGTTTCCATGTTAGATGGAGGCGCTCTGGCCTTGCTGGGGTGGGCCGGGGCCAGGAGAGGCATGGCTTCCATTCTTCCCCGGGCCAGGACGGAGGGCTCCCAGCCCAGTGCACCCCACCCCGCCAGCCTGGCCCGAGCCCACGACCCGTCTCCTCTTGTAGTTCGGGCGGACCGAAGTCATCGACAACACACTCAACCCCGACTTCGTGCGCAAGTTCATCGTGGATTACTTCTTCGAGGAGAAGCAGAACCTCCGTTTTGACCTGTGAGTGGACGATGGTGCTGAGGCCGAGGCTGGGGAGGAAGCAGTGGTGGGAGGGGGGGTCGCAAGACTTGTATTGGGCAGAGGTCCCCTAACAGGGAAGGTGGGGGCAGGGAGGTTAGAGGAAGCCCGGGGTTGGCCTGGAAGAAAAGTGACTATTAGCTGAAGTCCAGCCTCATCAGGAGGTGGAAGGGGGGTGAGGAGAGGAAGCAAAGCACCCCCCCATTGCTCTCAGTTAAGTGCGGGAGGGCGCTGAGCAGTTACCTGACCCCTGACCTGGGGGGGTGAGGAAAGATCTTGGGGACAACTCTAGCTCCACCTCTGGGAGCCCTTTTCTCCCCAGGGCATGGGGAGGTCCCCATTGACCTCTCCTTTTGTCCCAGCTTTTCTGGGATCAGAGACTGCCTTTTGGGGTGCAGGGGTCCTAACCCAGACTGGGTTGGGCAAGGTGTCCTGGCGGCCTTCAGCACCTCTCTGTGTTCCCTGCAGGTACGACGTCGACTCAAAGAGCCCTGACCTATCCAAACACGTGAGTGCACCTGCGACTGCCCCGGGAGTTGGAAAGTCTCCTAAGTGTCAGCCTCCGAGTCAGCCTCGGGCTTCACTGTGACAGAGTGTGTCTGATGCGGGATCCTGTCACTTCCCAGGGTGGGGTGATGGGGAGCTGGGACGGCTGTGAGCGAGTGGGTGACCCTGGTCTTTTCTGTACCCTGGATATGCAGGATTTCCTGGGCCAGGCCTTCTGCACCCTTGGAGAGATTGTGGGGTCCCCCGGGAGCCGCCTGGAGAAGCCCCTCACGTAAGTGTAGAGGAGAGGGGCCTGCCTGGGCTGTTTCTTCAGTGATGGGCCAACTTCCCGCCCAGCGCTGAGGGCCGGCTCAGAGGAGGGCATCAGGAGACCCCATCGCCCTCCTCTTGCAGGGCTCCCCCCAGTTACCTTAGACTCTCACAGGGTCGCCTAAGACACAACAGTAGCAAATTACAGTTATGAAGTAGCAACGAAAATAATTTTATGGTTGGGGGTCACCACAACATGAGGAACTGTATTAAAGGGTCGTGGCATTAGGAAGGTTGAGAACCACTGGTTTAGAGGGACTCCGGCTTGGTTATTGGAGCCCCATATTGCTGCCCTGAGATGTTAACTAGTTCCTCATCCCTATCCTTATTGAGGAGAAGAAACCAAAGCCCAGAGAGGGGAAGTAATTTGTCCAAGGCCACACAGCTAGGAAGTGAGAGAGCTGGGGTTTGTTTGAACGGAGGGTTCTACGTATATAGTGAATTCCTCGGATTGTTCACCCTGGGGCCAGCGCTGGGTATGGTGAGCACCCCCCCCCCCACCACCATGGCCTGCATTCAAAGGCCTTAGGTGCTGTTAGGGGAACGCCACTATTCTGAGCAGGCTCTGGGATGAAGAGTCCAAGGCTTCTCAGTGAAGTCTGAGGGTGGCTTCAGGGACCAGCCAGGGCTGGCCAGGTGGTGGGGTGACCTTTCTTGTTCCTATGTCTCAGAAAGCCCCAGGAGCAGAGCCTAAGTGAGAGATGAGCTCGGGGCACGGGCGGGGTGGGCAGGAAAGGAGGACCAGGCTGGGCTGGCCATCAGCCCCCACCTGCTTCTGCCAGGTTCACACTGGATGCTGTCCCTCCCGTTGATCAATAACTGCAGAACCTGTTGTAGTATGTTTGTAGGGGTGTCTCTCCAAGGCCTTCGTCTCTGAACCCCCAGTAATTGTGTGGTAACTTCAGGGCCCCCAGAAAAGCCTCCTTGCCCCCTACAGGTCACTTCCTCTGGGTTCACAGAAAATAGCTACCATTTATTAAGAACAGGGAGCAAACCCAGGTTTGGGGGCTCTGAAGCTTATAGAAAGTGGGATCTCAGCAGTGAGTGTGAGTCTGCCCCTCTCAGCTCCCAACTGCCTGGGTCAGACGCCCCTGAGTCACTACCCACCGGCCCGCCTCTGGCGAAGGGCACCCCTGGGGGGATTGAGGAAGACGTGAGGTGGGAGATGGGGTAGGAAGCCAAGACTTCAAGGGCAAGCAAGATCTAACTGTGGGGGCTGGTGGAGACGCCGGTGGTGCTGAAGTAGGGGGAGCAGTTCTGTCCCCCGAAGGTTTCACGTGCCGAAGTGCAGCTGACTCCTCGGCCTGTGAACAGCTCCCGCTCGCCAGGCACCTGCTGGGGGCAGGGTTTCCTCTGTGGTCTCACATGCTGCTCGCGGCGTTTCCGCTCCGCGGCCGTGCGCTGAGGCGCCAGGGCCGGGCCGTGGTTCTGACTGGGCAGCCTGGGCAGCCCCTGGAGGCTGCTACACACCCACTGGGCTCACCCCGAGGTTCAGATCCTCGGGTCCCGGGCGAGGCCTGAGAATGTGCATTTCTAACACATTCCCAGGGGTGCTGATGCTTCTGGCCCAGAACCCCACTTCGAGAACCCCTGAGGTACAGTTGCCCAGGACTTTACAACAGAGTTTGGGGAGAAGACTTCTCCTTCCCCGACCTGTGGCTTTTGGTCCTGTTTTGGTGTTTGATCCAGAACAGAAACCTGTCTCCAAGAATCCAGATGCCAAGTACCCCGGCCTCTGAGGATAGGGGTACTTGGACCATGACATGCTCTCTCTTCCTCTCTGCATAGGATCGGAGCATTCAGCCTGAACTCCAGGACGGGCAAACCCATGCCGGCTGTGTCCAACGGGTAGGTCACCAGACACCCTGGCGTCCTCAGACATTCAGCCCGCTGTGCAGAGGGCCTGAGTCCCGGCCCAGTCCCCACTCCACCACTGTGCATTCAGCCCTGGTCCGAGGACAGAGAGGGCTCTGGCTCCCTCCCCAAGGACTCAGGCACTTTGGGTCCCTCTGCAGCTGGCCCCTGCCTCCATCCCGGCTGGAACCCCAGTGGCTCATGGGACTTTGGTGAGCAGGGTGGGGCTAGAGGTAGGGGCTGATAACAGGAGTCAGAGGGGCTGGGCACTCTTCCTTCCCATCCTCTCTCTAGCCTGGTTTCTCCTGCCTCTCACCTCTCGCCCTCCTCTCTCCCTCTTTCCCTCCCTTCTCCTCATCTCCTCCCCCTTCCTCCCCGGCTCCCACTGCTGGATGTCAGCCTCCTCCTCGGGGCTTCAGCTGACCCCCCTTTCTGCGTTTGCTCACCAGCTGGGGGCAGCCTCTGCGCTGACCATCTGCTTTTGGCGGCATGCAGTTGTAGACAGCAGACCCTCCCCACTCCTTCCCTGTCCTCTCCTGGCTGGAGGGAGGGTGCTCACCCCAGCAGGCAGCAGGGGAAGGAGCACGGGCTTCGGGGACCAGCCTGGAGGTGCCCCTGAAGATGAGCATTTAGCTGGGTAACAGCTCCGCTGGCCTTTGCTCCCAGGGGCTGGAGTCCCAGCAGCTGGATTGCACCAGACCAGCTGGGGGGGGCGCGGGGACCCAGGGAGGCTCACAGCGCAGGAGGGTGTGCATGATGCTTTACAAGGGAACTGAGAAGCAGCAATTAGAAAGAGCCAGAGTCAGAGAGAGAAACAGAGGGAGGGAGGGAAGACCAGAGGGAGGGAGAGAGACAGAAAGGAAGGCTGAGCAGGTGGGAGCAGGGCTGGAGAGGGGAAGAGAAGATCAGAAACAGAAGAGGGGCCCAGAGCAAAGAGAGGCCAGATGGAGAAGCTTTGGTGTGAGGGTTTTATCACCTAGTCAAACAAATCTTATCTCTACTTCCAAGACAGCGGGTAGGGAGGGGCTCTGGGGCACTCAGTTCAGCTGCCCCTGTCTCAGAGGACAAGTGGCAGGGAAACCCCAGATGTGGCCCCTGCTCCCCTGATGTGGAGAGATCTGGGCTGCCCCTCTGGCCCAGGATGGGCTCCCCTGCACCCCTGCCTCATCTGTTTGAAGGCCCCTCCCTCTGAAAACTGGTGCTGGGAAGAGCTCCATCAGTAGTTCTCAAAGTGTGTTCCACAGACAGCCGTGGCTCTGAGGCTGGCCTGAAGCTGGGGCTGGACTTTATCAGCTTTGTCCGATTGTAAAGGGAAGGGGCAGGGAGGGGAACGATGCTCCTTGAAGGCCTTTTCTGTGTCAGGTGCTGTGTGTGAATATTAGTTAGTAAAGTGGATGCTATCATCACACCCATTTTATGGGTAAGGAAACTGAGTCTCAGAGAGGTGCAGTAACGAACCCAAAGTCATGCAGCTGCTGGACAGCCTGACATTTTCTACCTTCCGGTGGCCCCTGGCTGCACTGGGACCCCCTGGGTAGTCCCAAACATCAGAGTGGGCTGGGCTGGTGCCTGGGGGGGTGGATCCCTCCTGAACAAGGGGAGAGGTGGTGCAGGTCACCTGGGTGGAGCCCCACCTGGGGCGTGCCCTACGGAAAGGATTCTCAGGGGGGGGCCAACTTCAGGTCCTTGCTGTCCACCTCCCCGAGGAGCTGCATGGTTGGCTGGGATCTCTCTGGGAGGAGAGAGAGCTCAGCCAAGTGTTCCGGGGAGGTAGTCGTGGGAGAGAGACTGGGCTCGCTGCCCCCAGGGTATCCCAGCCCTTCTGCTTTGCTCCCTGTTGCTGCTCTGGGAGGTGAATCTGAGCGGCTCAGGGCTGGAATGTTCTGGGATTCTGGGGTCAGCTGGGCATAGGGTGGGGTAGCTAGCCCACAAGGTCTTTTGCCCACAGAAGTGGTCTTTGGATGGAAAGTTTGAGAACCACTGGTCTGGAAGCCTCCGGGTGAGTCTGGATGCTGTTCCGATTCTCGGACTTTCGCTGCAGACGCTGCTTTCCTGGTGGGCTCTCGGGGAGCAGGGGCGGGCAGCTCCAGGCCCGGGGCCTGGCCCCCAAAGCAGTGCACCAGGCCGCCCTGCCACAGTGTTCCAGGGGACTGTGTCTTCTCGGGGGCTGGGGCAGATCGCTGTGGTGGGGGTGGGGGGGACAAGGGCTGGTTCAGGGAGTGTTCAGGCTTTTGTCTCTGTCTTTGTCTGGCTCTCCATCCTTCCTTTTCCTCCTCTCCCAGTGGTGTCCCAGGGAAGAAATGTGGCACCATCATCCTGTCCGCTGAGGAGCTCAGCAACTGCAGGGTGAGTGGCAGAGGGACTCCAGGACAGGACCTGGTTGGGTGGGTGCTGTGGAATGGAGGGGAGGCTGGCCTCCCTGACCCCGGGGCCACGTGTGTCCTTGGAGGGAATGGGAAGACAGGGCGCCTCAGTCTTACTGTCCTAGGACTCTGACAGCAGAGCTGGAAGGTGAAGGTCTTGTCTGCTTCAGCTGGCCGAGGCCCAGAGAGGGGAAGGACTCGCCCACCGGCAGCAGCAGAGCTGGGCTCCCACGCCAGGGCTCTTCCACTCCCAGCAGGCCCTCGTGGCACCACTCACGGGTCCTGAGCCAAGCCTGCCTTGGCACCGGCACTGGCAGCAGAGGGGCCTTTCAGTCTTGGTGCCTGGGCGCTTGGCATTTCGTTGTTATCTTTCACTTTCAGCTGTGGGGTAGGGTGACACCTTGCATGGGGGGGAGGGAGTGAGGGCGTGTGGTTGGCGCGTGTGTGAGAGTCTGCATGCATGTGTGTGTACCTGTGCGTGTGTGTGTGCGCCTGTGCGTGCGTGTGTGTGCCTGTGTGTGTGTGTGCCTGTGCATGCATGTGTGCGCCTGTGTGTGCGTGCGTTTGCCTGTGCCTGTGCGTGCGTGCGTGTGCCTGTGCGTGTGTGTGTGTGTGTGTGTGTGTGTGTTGGGAAGCAGAGTCTCAATCCCAGGCAGCCTTCGTTTTACTTCTTCTGTGTGAGTGTGGGGAAGCAGCAGATGGGGACAGCTGAAGGGGCTCAGGGGATCCGGTGGCTGATACTAATGATAAAATATAGTTCTTATTTGTCAGGCGATGAGCATTTTACATAAGTTATCACTACTCCTGAAAATAGTCCGATACTGTTGTTGGTCCCATTTTGTGGATGAGAAAATTGAGGCTCAGAGAGGCTAAGTCATCTGGTAAAGGACGAGAAGTGGTAGTCAGGATCCTAATCCAGGTCAGCCTGATTTTAAAACCCAGGCTCCTTTCCCCAGCCCATCAGGCCTGCACGCCTCTTCAGTTAACTAGGAGCCACAGGTGGGGACATGACGGGCCCCGGGGAGAAAGGCGAAGGCGGAGGCCGCAGCAGCGGGTGAGCTCAAGCCTGGGGTACCTGGGACCCTGCTTCCCCCGCGCACCTGCAGCTCAGGCTAGCGGGGCTGGAAGTGACGAGGGAAAACAAGATTTTCTGACCTTCCTGGAAGGTCAGAGCAACTATTATGTGTTAGCCATCAGTATTTATTTAAAATTGAAAAAAAAAAATATTTATTGATGTATTTTGTTTTATTTTTTAAATATTTATTGTTGAAAGTATTACAGATTTATTTTTAAATGACAATAGGTTAGCCCTGCCTATGTGGCTCAGTGGTTGAGCGTCGTCCCATGCACCACGAGGTTGCCTGCCCTGCTGGTTTGATTCCCCGTCAGGGCACATGACCAGGTCGCAGGCTCGATCTCCAGTAGGGGCCATGCAGGAGGCAACCAATCAGTTTCTCTCTCACATCGATGTTCCTCTCTCTCTCTCCCTCTAAAAATCAATAAAAACATATTTTTTAAAATGACAATTAGTTTACCCCATTATTGGTTAAAATAATAACATCTTTTTTGAAAAATAACTATATTTTCCACAACAAAAGTCATCTAGTGAAAGAGTGGCCTTGTTTTACATTTCTGTACATCTCTTTAATGTCCGGCTCGACACAAAAGAACTGCATTCTCGTATCTGCTTCTGCAGTCAGTCTGTTGTGACATCACTGTTGGGTCACTTCTGGAAAACTCCATGTCTTATTAACATTATTACGAACATAATTTTGGCCTCATGGACCCCCTTTCCGGTGGGAGGGGGGGAGGTGAGATTCCTGGTCCAGACTTTGAGAACTATTGGTAGGGAGGTCTGAATTGTTAGCCAGCATTAACTGAGCGATTATTCTGAGCCACACACTGTGCTAAATGGTTACATGCATCAAGTTGTTTATCTGATGTATTATACTATGTAACGGAACAGGTAGTATGATATATTATTATATCCAATGTATTGTGGTCCTCATTTTACAGAGAGGTTAAGTGACATGCCCAAGGTCACACGGCCACGGCGTAGAAGAGATTGAACCCAGGCAGTCTGGTTCTAGAGCCCGGGTCTTGAGCCACGAGGCTGTGAGGTCCCAAACTGCGTCAGGGGCTTCCAGTTGGAGAGGAAGACACAGTGGGTAGCACAGGGCAGTATAGCAAGAACCACATCAACTCGGCACCGCTGCTGGTCTGGTTTCTCTACTGGTCTGCTCCCCTTAGTGGGTCTGGAGGAATTTGACAGCGGCTGAACCCCCCATGTCCACACCCGGGGGGGCTGGCGCGCAGCTGGTGCTCACGAGGACCTGCCGTAAACCTGCACCTGAGTGAGCAGGCAGCACAGAGCAGGTGATGAAGCCGCACCTGTGCAGCTCACACTCTGGACACCACTGGAGTTCAGACGAGGCCGGAGCGCAGCTCACGTGCAGGGGAGAGCTTCTGGCTACGCTTCCTGAGCCTGGGCTTCTCCACCTGCGTGCGGGGCGCAGGGGGTTGCTGTGCGGATTAAAGGAGGTGGGCTGTGCCTGCCTGGTGCCCGGCTTCTGCAGGGTGCCTGGGAAAGGCTGAATTCATTGAAGCCTAAATTCCATTTGCCCTCAAGCTTCTAGCTCCGCCAGTGACTTCCTCCCTAGTTTATAATTAAAGATCATAAAAGTAAAAGTGCTTTGGAAATTCTAAAGCTCCAGAAAATGCTGAGTGCTGTTATTGGTCTAGTTTTCCAGGATTGGTGAACAGTCTGAATTTAATACCTATTAGCCCCCCACCCCTCCTTCCCTACTCCCCCTCCTTGCTGCATCCAGGGATGGCAGTTTCCTGGGTTTAAGCTGTTCCAGCGGGTGAGGTCCCCTCCTTCCCTGAGATTGTCAGCTCCTTTTCTTTGGGCCATCTTTGGCTGAGTTCTGTCTTTCCCTAGAATACTTGCGAGGAAAAGAGACTAATTCCCAACATCTGGCTGAATTAAAATAATTACATCTGAGCGGCTTTGCCTCTGTTGTTCCAGCTCCGACTTCAGTGGGAGGATCAAAGGAAGAGGGTGGAGTGGAGAGACGGGATTGCACCAGGCAGAGCTTCCTGCCCAAGTGAATACTTTCTGCAGAAGTAGACAAACCCTCCTGCATCGCGGGATGGCGTGGGCGGGCAGGACCAGCAGAGCGTTAGAGTGGACTCCAGGGTGACCAGCGTGCTCACCAGCGCACATCGATAGGTTACAGAAAAGCCCTGCTCATCTGGAATTCAAACACCAAGAAAGTTCCAACAATCAGCATTTGCTCCAAAATACTAGTCAGTCATACTTAATGTTGACAATGATGCGTTTAAGCTCCCGAATCACCATTTAATTCTGCTCAGCAGTAAAACTATTGTTATTCTATGTAACAGTGACGGATGTTTGCATAGTCCTCACAGTTGACCTGGATTCTCATGTTTACAGTCTGTTTGATTCCCACCACAGGCTGGGGGCTGGGTAGGTATGAGGGACCCCAGTTTACAGACGCCGAGAGGTTGAAAGGGCCTACGACTGCAGGATTCTACCCAGGCCTGGACTCCGAATCCTCACCCACAGTGAAGCCATGGGCCGCCATGGGCCTCCACGGTCCGTGAACAGCTCTGGGTTTTCGGTGTTTGTGGAGCCAATAGCCTTTAGCGGGCCTAGCAGGCCTGGTAAGTGGTGGGCTTCTGCGGAGAGGCAGGGGTGCTGCTGGTGTAGGGAGCAGGCAGCTCCTTGCTCTCACCTTCCAGGACCCTTAGCTCCCCCTAGGCCTGCAGGGCACCCCAACCTTGGTTCCTGGCCAGTGAGCACGTCCTCGGTGCCTCCCAGTCATGTCCCTGCACACACAGCGAGAGTGTGACTCACCTCTCAGAGCCTGCTCGTGGATTTATTCATTTCATTTCAGCAAATATGCTTGGGCTCAGTCCTCGCCCTCCCAGAGTTTCCAATTTAGTGTGAGAGACAGAAATGCCAACCAGCAACCACAGTACAGCAGTAGTCCTCAGCCCTGTCAGATACACCGCCTCTTTTTTATAACGAATACTGCGGAGCATTCTTTGCTGTCTTGAAGGAAAATTCATGGACAGCACTATATAATGCCAAAATACATACAGGTGGGGACTGAACCCTTGCAGCTCCCTGGGGGAAGATGGATGGGTCCAGGCAAAAGCAACAGCTGTACTAAGACCCTGGGGCAGTGAGGAGACTGATCTCAGAGAGGTGAGGGTGTAGGAGGGAATGGGGGCCAGGCTTTGTGGGACCTAGCAGCCTTGAATCCTGATAAAGTCAGAACTCTCATTGTTCTAGAGACAGACCTCAGGGAGGGCCAGTGTCTCCATGTGGGAAGAGCCCTAGGAGGAAGGGAGAAAGATAAGAAGAAGGAGGTAAGATGAAGTCAGGGATGCAGTGAAGGTTTTGAGACTCAGAAGCCTGCAGGGCACGGATATAAGTGTTCTTTCTACATGGTGAATGGCCAGCGTTCAACCATCACCCTTTTAAAATTTCATTTATGAGTTTTTGGTTTTAGAAATCATTTCTCTAGTTAAAAAGAAAGAAAGAAAACAAAGCAAAGCGTTTTTCCTGATGCTAACAATAATTAAAAAAATGTTCATAATGGACAAGTTGGAAGATACAAAGAATAAACGATCACCCAGAGATAATCATGGTTGACATTTGATGCCTTGCCTCCAAGGCTATGTTCTGGGTGTTTAGGTATATGTATATGTATATGTATATGTATATGTATATGTATATGTATATGGTTTTTTCCTTATATTAGTAGAATATGGTTTCTAGTTGTTTTTTATTTATCAGTAGAATATGGTATCAAGATTTATTTTCCCAGGTCATAAGATATTCTTGGAAAACATGTATTTAATAGCTGCATATTATTTCTTTATTGTGTGGATGGCTCATAATTCGTGGCTCTATTCTCTTATAAGCAACAATATAATTAATACTGCAGTGAA